ATTAAATAATAAGAACTTTTATTATTTAATATAATATACTATACTAGATTCTACAGAAAAAATAATAAAAAAAAGTATATATTAAAATATTTATTTTTCTTTCTTTATAATAAAATAAATAAAAATATTAATAATATTATTATATTTATTTAATCTATAATTCTTAATATAAGAATTCTGAATATAAAAAATTAATAAATTTAGAATTTAAAAATAAACTATTATATTATCTCTAATTATAATTATTTTATTAACTATACTTTTTATTAATTAAATAAAATCTTATATTAGTTTAATATTTTTAATAATATAATAAATTATATTCTAAGATATAATATAATTTCTTTTATTTTAATAATAATTATAAGAATAGATAAAGATATATAATATATAAGATTATTTTAATACTATTATTTAAAATATTAGAATCTAGAAGATTATTAATAAAGTCTATAAGAAATATAAAATTCTATTTATTAAATTAAATAAATATAAAAATTTAAAAATTATATTAGCTATAATATTTGATTTAATATTATTATATTAATAATTAGAATATATAGATATTTTTAAGTTAAAAGCTATTATAATAGTTAATTAACTTAAGATTTATAATTTTATATAATCTAATTATAAATTATATTTACTGGTGAAGTTTAAGCAAGTTATTAATTAAGATCTAATTATTATAGATATAAATCTCTTAATATTATAAATTACTAATATCTAGTTAATAAAGCTAGTAAAATATAGTAGATATTATATATATTTAATTATAATTAATTCTATTATTTAATAATTCAAAGTTTGCTTTTTAAAAATTAAGAATATAAATATTAAATTAAAGTACTTTATTAAAAAATATAAGATATTAATTAATAAATAAATATAATACTAATATCTTAATAAAAATACTAAGTTTAATCTCTTTATTAAATAAATCAGAAACTAATTAATATATATTATCTTAATATTATATTATATACTTGAGATTAATAAATCTTCAGAATAATATAAAGATTATCTTAATTAAATAGTTTATATAATAATTATTAATAATAATCTATCTAAGAATATATAATCTTTTATAATTAATATTATTAATCTAATTATTAATTAACTGATTTATTTAAATAATAAGATTAATAAGTCTCTGTTATAGAAATAGTATAAGTATTATAAATTATTTAATTTAAAGTCTGCTTTTAATTTTCTATATATTTTTAAATATTAAATCTATATTTATTTATTTAAGAAAATATATATACAAGTAAGAAAGATATTTTTAAAAATAATTAAAAGATATCTGATTAACTATAAAAAAAATATAAATATATATTAAAGATTTAAAGTTCTTTAAATTATAAGATCTATTAATTATATTATATAAAGTTATATAAAATAAAGATATATTATAATAATAAGAATATTCTGCATTCTGATATAAAAATCTCTATAAAATATTAATTATAATTTATTAAATTTATAAAAAATAATTTTAATTACTATACTATTCTTTTATCTATAATTAGCTATAAAATAATTATTAAGAATTCTTAGACAAGAGATTTATTACTAATATATAAAAACATTTAAATAATATTTTAATTATTTTTAAAATTATATCTTATCTGATTAATTATATTCTATCTAGAAGATTCTTAATAAGTTAAAAAAAATAATATTATTATCTAATTTTTTATTAGACTTATTTTTTATTTATTTATAAAAATATTAAAAATTAGAAAAATATTTTTATAACTCCTTCCAGTAATTCTGCTGATTATAATATTAATAAAGATTAATTATAGTAAATTTTAATAAGAACTATTATAGTCTAAGATCTCTTAGTATCTTAAAAGATATATCTATTTTATAATATTAATTAAATTATTATTAAATATTTTTATTTTAATAATAATATTACTCTGCGGTCAAAGAAAGTATATAATCTTTAATTAAAAAAGAATATTTAAAAAGAATATATAAGATTTTTATTTAATAATATATATACTATATAGATCACAGGCACTTTATATTATTTATACTAAATATTATTATTATTTATATTATCTGAATTATATAAATTATTAAGTACTAGCAAGCTGATAGATTAGTTAGATTTAATTAATAATTTTAATATAATTAAAGATAATATCTTTATTATTATTCAGAATAATAAGATTATAATATTACTAAAATATATTATTAAAAAGAGAAAACAGAAGATAATATAGTTAATATAAGTTTTAAATTATAAAATTAAAAATAAATTCTTAATTTATTTAAGAGATAAAATAACTCTTATAGTCTCTGATATATAAATATATATAATAAATATATTTATTTCTAAGATATATAAATTAATAATATTATTATTATATATAGATTACTAGCAGAAGACTATATTAAAGAAACTATAAAATTTATAAAAAATATAAATATTTAAGATTATATTTTATTTAATATATAAAGATACTTATATAATCTTAGGCAAATAGATTTATATAATAAAGATTAATAAAAATAAATATATTAATTATTTTAAAGTCTACTAAGTAGTCTGTGATAACTATTAATAAATAAATAAAAATTATAATATTATATATATATCTATAATCTTTAATATTATTATAAAAATAGGATTTATAAAGATTACTGTTAAAAAATTTAAATAAAAATAAATTAATATAGCTATTATATATTTATATATAATTATTAATAATAGACTTATTTATGTAAAATAATTAACTAGATTTAAGAAAGATAATAATATTTATTTTATTAAATATATATTATATAATTTAAAATAAGCAGATTATTTTTAAAATAAGATTTTTAATAAATAACTACAGATACTTAGTTTTAAAAATATTATTAAAAAATTTTATTTTTATTTTTAAAAATCAAGTCTAATTATACTATATATTAATAATTTTATTATTATAAATTATATAAAGACTAATATTAATCAGATATATAAATATTTAGATTAGAATTTTAAGATAAAATATCTAAATATTTTAACTTATTTTCTTGACTGTAATATTAATAAAAATATTATAAAAAAAATTATTATTATAAATTAGAATATTTATATTAAAAATCTTTTAAAATATTATAATATAAATAAAATATTATTAAAAAATTATTTTATAAATTCTAAATATCAGAGATTTAGATCTGAGAATTAGAAATATAATAATAATAATATTAAGAATTATATAATAATAATAGATAAACTAAATTAGTTATTAATATATATAAAATATAATATTATATATTTTATTTTTTATTTATAATATTATTATTAAAGCCTGATATTATATAATATAATAATTATAAAAAATATTTTTTCTTATTTTAAAAATAATAAATATAATCTTATTCTAATTCTAAAATATATTAATTTTATAAAAAAATAATATAATATAATATACTAGAATATATTTAGATTATAAATTAATAAAGATATTTATTATTTTTTTATTAAATTATTAATTAGTTAATTAAGTAAAAAATAAAAAATTATTATTAAATTTCTAATTTTAACTGAGTTAATTATATATAAAAAAATTATTAAAAAAATTTATAAATTAAATAATTAATTAAGATATTTAATATATTAATATTTAATTATATTCTAGTTTATATAGATTCTTAGAATATTATTAATCTAATTTATAAGAAAAGCTATACTCTGATTATTAAATAGCTTAATAATTATATCTAATTTATTAAAAATATTTAAAAATAAGAATAAATTAAGTTTTACTGGATTTTTTTTAAAAAAAATATAACAGATAAATTAATTAAGTTTTTTTAAATAATAAAGTTTAAAATATTTAAAAAAATATTTTATTTTAAGAAGATAAAGCAGTAGTTAAGTATTAAAAAAATAATTTTTTATAATTATTTTATTATAATTTTATATTATCTAGTTAGATAATCTACAGAGCTTCAGAAATTATAGCTAAGAAATATATTAATAATAACTGCTTTGAAGCATGTGACCGCGCCTTTTATTTTAGAAGCCGGGATTCCTGGCCCCTGTCATCCAAATCAACTCATTGTTTTCCGTCGCCTCTACATCTTCATGATAATTTTAATAATATCAATAATATCAATAATATCAATAATATCAATAATATCAATAATATCAATAATATCAATAATATCAATAATATCAATAATATCAATATAATATCAATAATATCAATAATATCAATAATATCAATAATATCAATAATATCAATAATATCAATAATGTCAATAATATCAATAATATTATTAATTAATTAATTTAACTATAATATAAAAGACATATTGATTTAATATATAGATATAATAATATTAAAAAAAATCTAAAAATCTGTTTTATAATATACTATAGTATTTTATTATAAAGAGAATAAAGAAATTCTAAATTTATTATTAAATAAACTTAAAATAATAAGTCTTCGGGCTTATAATTTAATAAAAAAACAGCCACACAAAGCAATAAAAAAGATAGATTGATTCGGGTGAGAGGGGCCAGGGATCGCGGCGATCAAGTAGGGAGGTGTGATCACGAGGCCCTGGAGCGGCCAACCGCCAACAAATAATAAAACTAAAATAAAAAAAATTATAATTTTTGGAATAAAAATATTTTCAATAAGATAAATAAGCAGAATTATTTGCAAGAGAATTAATTAATCTGATTAATTAATTAGATTCTGATAGATAAAATATATACTTAGACAATCAGACTAATCCATCAATTACTAACAGTCTCAAAATCAGAAGTATACACTTTTCTGCCGCCAACTTTCCTATATATATATATGATTATTTATTCAAAAATATTTGATGTAGCTGTAGCGGCTCGTGGCATTCTTCAGGCGGTAAGTAGCTCCTTATGCCTCACCGCCTGACTGATGCTAGGGATTCAGCGGATGATACCCAATAATGTAAATTGACCGCCTTTGAAGTTGAATGATCGCCCAATCAATAAACCGTTCCAACAGTCAATTATTGCATCTGCAACACAACGACTTCAACCTCACATCAGCACAAATCTAACATACTGGTGGTCTTTGTACTGCAATTTCTACCTGATGCTCTCAGTTGAGCCTGCAGTTGTACAGGGTGTCTTATTTACCTCGTCAAGGCCTAAGTATGTTTGTACCGAGGGCGGCACTCTCATCAGCAGCTTCTCTGCGGAGCAATCCCAGGCGGCGCCAGCGGACAAATTCTGATGATTCTACAAAACCCCCAAGTGCCAAGAGGCAGAGATCCACCCTCAGGGAAGATATAGAATCATCACCTGAATCTGCCCAGCATCCCCAACTTAAACCAGGGGAATGTGCCCCATCGACTCTTTCAAGTCACGATGTCGCGCTTGAGGATAACCTGAATTTGCAAACAAACATTCCTATAAGGGCTGCCAAAAAGGCGGATGACTGCAAATGTAATAGCGATGGCACGCTCATGCTCGTGAGTAGTCCTAATAAGTGAAGCCTTCTATGATATCATTAAACTGACAGTTTTAACAGTCAAAGACTGAGTTCTACACCGTGACACAACTACCAAACTTTCCGGATCAAGTCCCGGGTTCACAGCCAGGTATGCTTAACTTGTATTTACCATTCATATATACTAACGCGGGAACGCAGGGGTCTTCACAGGTTCTTTTGGAACTGGTTATGGATATGCTTTGGCCTTAGCAGCGTCGCATGCAATCATTTGGCCGTATGTGAACACTAGTACATCATCTTCCATGACAGATGTTTTCACACTGCCATTTCCTACGTCACATACCGACTCTAACCCTCCTACCCCCCTCGGATTACTCTTGTCGAACGCAGCAGGTGCGGCACCTGGGCTGTTGGTTGTCATGCCCTATACCGGGAAAGTAATCTATTGGGAAACCATATCAAGTGGCTCTTCCCTAGGTTTTGCCAGACACAAACAATCTGGAATCCCGGGGAGTATTCACGGCATGCTCTCAGGTGAACATGCGACAGATATAATAAATAGCGAGCCATCGGGTGTTATGGTCACATTTTCTACCGGGAGAATTGCCCACATATCAATTCGGGACTCCCAAGGAAAGCCCGCGGTGATTGTGTCTTTTCTCAGAAGCCCCTCTGGTGGTGGTAGAACCGGACTCTTGGGAAGTCTGAAGAATGCTCTCGGGGGTGGCTTTTGGAGGAAGAATATTGCGGCCCTTCACGCGGGTGAATCTCATCAGCGCGGGCAGCGGGATGTAATAATTGCCACCTCGGCCGGCTTTTTTGAAATCTGGGACATGCACTGGAATAACGGGAGCATGCCCAAACAGCAATTTGACGTGGGATTTCACTTGCCTGAGGCTCTTCGTCATCAAGTTGTTGAACATGCCAATGGTGATGACTTCAAGATCCTGGACTTTGCCATCTCTGACAGCGGCCAAACCAGTCATGATGTTTACAATGGTGGTCCCCAGTCATGGCACATCACCGTCATCGTGGCACGAACTACAACGAATCATCGAAGCCTATTCGTTGTGCAATTGAAACTTTGTGACGGGGTAGAAATAATTTCTACAAATCATGTCGAATTGCACAATCTTTCTACACATCTGGAACCCTCATGTGTCCGATTATTCGTCCCTAGCCCTGGAGACACTGCATTTGTTGTTATTGGGCAGTCACTCGCATTGTTCTCATTGAACAATAACGAGAAAGAGGTCTCGAAACATCCGATTGGTAGTGAAACTCGTCAGTCCATTTTCAAGGATGTTATTCCCTTACGATCTGGACCGGGTTACGAGATCTTGGCGAGTGGATATGAGGACCAGATTGATGGAGAATCTTCAGCCGCATGCTTGCTCATGCTTCGTGATTTTGGCATCCTTCGTATTACAGCTTTGCCTCGCGATAGCAAAAGAGACACCACTAAAGATGGCCACATTACTGCGAAGCATAAAATTGAGCAAGCCATATTCTATGGCACCATGACCAAAAATCCGTTGAACCTTATTGGCAATCATGGTCTAATCTTTCCTGTTACGGAAATCGAGCAGGCTGCATTGGAAATATGTGGGGAACTCATGCGATCCACATCGAAATTCATACCGACAAGTGGTGTCTCTGTGGATCTGAATCTCAAATTGCGGGCCAAAGCCCTAGATGACCTTGTCTTCATATTATCCCAGCAGAACCAACCCCTCCGGCGTGAAGTATGGTGGCAATTACTTTGGGGTGCGGAGAAACTTTCGGCCCAAAGAGCCATGTGGAAAATAGAAGATAATTCCAGGACATGCAAAGGCAGAACATCCACCTTACTGAGCCATATACTCGACTCAATGGGCAAAAGGTTCAAAACCGAGGTGGGAACTGCTGATTGTGACTTGGTGCGCCATTGGTTTCTGCATGACACCTTTCAAATGGAACACATTGTGCCATGGATATTCAACGCCATAAAGCCCCAAAAAGGTAACCATGCGAAGGCAGGACGAAAGACGTCGGAACAGCTCCTTGAAGCTAGCGAACTGTCGCTAGCTATCTTGGAGACGGCGTATCGTTATCGAGACGAAAATGCTAGTCGGTATGGGATCAGTGACGGCCTTCTCGAATCCGGTGTATTTACCAGTGACTATAACGGCGTCCCAGAATTCTGGACATCTTATCGCGTTGGTTATATCGAAACAGGACATCTGCTAGACTTGGAACTCGATAGCTGTAGGGCTTGGATTCAGCAAACGACTTCCACTCCGGAGCTACCTGAAAGTCAAATCGTGAAGAAGCTTGCAAAAAATAGCGCCAGACAGCTTAATATTTTGGGCTCTATGCATTCTGAAAGAGTAAGATGGCTTTCGGCTCAAGACGACCCAAAATTGGTCGAAGAGGGTATCGCCACTGAACAGACGCACGCTAAGCAGCGAAAGTGGCATTTATTCAAATTGGCTGGAATAGGTCAGCTGGATGATGCAATCGTTCTTGCCGAGAAGTTTAGAGATATGGGAGCCCTGGTGGAGCTTATAATTGAGCTTCAAGACCAAACAAAAGGCTCGACAATACATCAAAGTTCACGAAACGGTGCGGCATCTGCCGATGATGTTAGCCCAGCTGAGCAACTCAGTACAAAGATTTCCTTTTATTTTGAGAAATTCGGTGAACCATGGGCAGACGCCTTTTTCTCTCGGCAGATATCCATGGGACAATCAGGAATTTTGTTTGCAATGAGAAAATTCCAGCCTTATGTTACTCGGTTCCTGCGAAAACATCCAGCTTATTCCCGGCTTGGCTGGATCAATGATGTGATAGGCGAAAACGACTATGACTGCGCCGCTCATGTTTTGGAGAGCCTGGCCACCGAACATGAGTCTGATATTTGGAGTCATCGAGTGCAGTTGTCCTTGGCAAAGCTGGCAAATCTAGCCTCCTGGGAGGAATCTGCTACTCCGGATAGCCTGATCGTTCGCGATAATGTCAGGCGTTTGGAGGATTTAGCAGAAACAGATGTCGTCCAAGAAGTTATCTTTGCCTACATGAAACCGGCGTTGCAAAGCGCGATTGACCCAAAGGCAGCGATTGACATCGCAGCCGAATCTTTCACTAAATTAACCGCCGAAGACAGACCTTCATTGCATGAGATATTTGTCGAGGGTGTCTCCAGAATAGTCTCTCGTCAAGTAGTTGGCCTTGACGAACTCATCGACTTGTTGACACTTATTGATTTGACTCTGGTTACTGGGCATGGCCAAGATGAAATTGTTGGGAAGCAATTTTATCTAGCTTTACGAGTTATCCGACTCGCTTCCCAGGCGCAGGGGCAGCATCGTAATATTGCCTTGCAAAAGCTGGTATGGAGAAGATGCATGATAGATAATAATTGGAGGCAACTTGGGGAGACTGCCGAAGAGAAGGAAGCCGACTTCAATTCCCTCCTGTATGATACCTCGCTTTTTCGCACCCTTAATTGGTGCTTCAGGGACGGTGGGTCTTGACAACAGGAAACGACTATGAAGGTGGCTACTAACTTTCCCCCTAGGGCGTGATGAAGATTCCAGTTATCCTTCTATCTACATCCCCGACTCGCCCCACGACTTGTTGTTGAGCGAGTCAGAGTCTGAATATCTAACATCGCGTTTTCACCCAGAGCAACGAATACGGGTACATCATGATCTTGTTAGGGAGAGTGAGATGTTGCACCAACAGATCAATAATGGGAAACTCGAGTTCTGGTTCAAGAGCTTTGTCGACTCGGCCAAGGCTGCAACTCACGAAACCCCTCTTGTTGTCAATGACAAAGACAATGCGCAACATTGTACGCAATTACTGGAAGCTCCAACTGATAAAGTACAATTAAGTTGGCTCTAGGGCATCAGTTAGGGGTAGGCCCGACAGATAGCATATTTCATGATATCGGGCAATGGCCGGCCAGTTTTGCCATCTAAACCTCTCTCCATCTTTCTATCACTTAGGCTTGGATATCTCTTCCCATGTGCACGATTTTCACTCCCCTGGTATTTGTATTTATGCCAGTCTATTTGTGACATTTAAAAATACAACACTGAGAGGTGGGTGGATTGACGCATTTCGCTAACTAGGTGAAGGGTTCAAGATTCTCTACTAAGGATCCTTTCAACGGGGCAGGGTACAAAGTATGCCGGGCATGCAATAAAAGTGGTCACTTTATACTGATCATACAGTTGACTTAGGTCTGTTATTATCGAGGAGTTAAGAGTAGATAGCTTAATAGAAATAGAAATAGAAATATAGAAATGTGAGATTTTTTTCTGCATTTGGCGCGGACTACGGAGTATCTACGGAGTATCCTCGCGCAGCCTGGAAGTTCCAGCTTATGTTTGCATTTGCCTTCTCCACTCTGCTAGTTTTTAACTTTTTTCCCACTAACTACTAAAACTTTTGCTGTCCTGGGTTTGCCGGGTGTTATAGAGTAGATAGATACCTGAAACACCTTTTTTTCTTGCAGGTCATTTCTTTACTTTGTTATCCAATTCGCTACATCTCTACAGTCTCTTTATCAGTTTCTGTTCTTTATTCCCAATCATCACTACCATTTTCGCATTGCATTCCCTCACGTCAGGGTAATGCCTGTACCACACCATGAAGCAAAACAATTCTTTCGATCGTTCTCAGTCTGTCGCTGATTGCTCAACTGCCAGCGAATCATCACCTTCGCCTCTCGTATCAGCATTAGCTACCCCTTGGGTTTTCCTCCGTCCATCGACAGAACTTAGTGGCATTGCACGGGGATCTGTAAAAGATTATCTGGATTCTCTCGCTTCCTCGGTCAGTGTGTCTCAATGCGCGCGACAGCGAAGGAATAGAAAGCGCAAGAGGCCGGAAGTTGAGGGAGGTTTCGCAAATCAGACCTTGCAGCTGAGACAGCTTTATGTTGAGGGCTTTGCCTTGGTCCAGATATGGCAACAAGCTCTAAGGATTTTTGATGCTTCTGTTGAAGAGATTGATCGCGACCATACTCGGTGGTCTAAGACGCTGGGGCTCTTAACATCCAAACGGCGAACGCCCCTCGCTTCTACTCATTATACCCAAGAGCTGGGAGACACCGATGACCCCAAGGCAGATACCGACACCGCTCAATCCATGAATGGCAACAAATCTGGCTCGGAGAGTCCAGATCACCAAACTTCATCTGACAATGTGATCCATTTTGACGAAAGCTCCAATGAATTAGCGGATGAGGGTTCCATTATCGAGTACAGTACAGATGATGAAAGCAAACAAGAAACATATGTCGACGACGCGTTCGGCTTAAATGATGCGTTTTTTTCAATCGACCATTTCAACAAGCAATCGGAAGTATTTGAAAGGCAAGATTCCAGAGGTGAACCTGACTTTAACAGCGATGAGGAAGAGGTTGATTGGCATGCAAACCCCCTTGATGTCATGAATTTGCCGCCCGTGTTAATGAGGGAATTACCGTCAGGTAACCCTGTGCAACAGGAAGATGAGAGAATGGTTGATAGCGAGGACGAAGGGCCGATATTTGGCAATGCGGACCTTGAAGCTGAATCGGATTTCGATGTGGATGATGTATATGTTGCTTCACCCGAGAGGGCCGGCTGGGTTAATACCAGTGACATTCTGTATTCTGATTTTTTCGCCCCGCCTCCGCGGAAAAGTTTGCGCAAGAAGCCACGCTCGCTGGCTAAGACTCAACCGAATGACGCAATCTCAACGAACGACATTGATCGTGCTATGGCTGATGTCCGCCGTGATTTGTTCGATGATGAACTTTCCGAAGCTGACGGTGGCCCTGGTGAAATGAGTGGACACCAGAGTCATCATTCTAACCATGAAAAACAACGTGCTAGGCTTGCCGATGAGATTCGTCGCCTGGAGGCAGCCAACGTTGCCAAGAAAGAGTGGATGCTTGCTGGTGAGGCTAGGGCCGTTGAAAGGCCCGTAAATTCCCTTATCGAGGAAGACTTGGATTTCGAGAGGATCGGGAAGCCTGTTCCAGTTGTCACAGCAGAATTATCACTTGATATCGAAGAACTTGTGAAGAGACGGATCATTGCGAGGCATTTTGACGAAGTCACACGCCGCCTCCCTGGCGTTTCAAATGCACCAAGCGAAGGGAGGGTACGGTTTGAACTTGATGACAATAAGCCGCAGCAGGGTCTTGCTGAATTATATGAAACCGACCACCTCCGCGCTGCTGATTCAAATTACGTTGACCCCAAGAATCAAAAGCTGATGCGTGAGCATGCTAATGTCACCGCCCTATGGAAAGAGATCGTATCCCAGCTGGATACACTTTCGAACTGGCATTATAAACCTCAAGCCCCACAGGCTAGCATCAATGTGGTCACGGATGTCGCAGCGATAACAATGGAAGATGCTCAGCCGACTACCAGCGGTGCTGTTAATTCAAGCGCAACACTCGCGCCACAAGAAATCTACGCTCCTGGTGATGATGGCAACGCCGCTGGTGAACTGGTTCTAAAAAGTGGAATGGTGGTTACTAGGGAAGAAATGAGCCGTGAACAGAAAGCGAGGTTGAGGCGAGAGCACAAGAAGCAAAAATCTAGTACCACCACGCCCAGCCGGAATTCTGCAAAAGCAGCTGAAAAACAGCAGCTTGTCTCAGATTTAAAGAGGGGCGGTGTTAAACTAATCGGGAAGCAAGGCGAGGTAACAAATATTCATGGTGGCAAGATTAGTATGGACGTTAAGAATGACGGTCATGCATTGAAGCTTTAGACTGCATCAGGGGTACCAGAAATTGGAAGGGACTATGAAGCACTCCCAATAGAGGCTATATATAAATTCACATGCAATTTTCCTTTTATCTCCCAGATCAGCTAGTCGCGGTCATGTTTTTATCAAGTTTCCGACGAATGGCGTAAAGATAAATGTTTTCTCGCCGATAGGCATCCGCATCGGGGTCGTCACTGATCTCCTTAACATGGAATATTTTCCTTGCCTGTTTCATGAAGCGGATATCTGCCCTTCTTCGTCTTTTGAAACAGAAATAACAGACTGAATTTGGACCAAGAAGGTCGCTCAAGGTCGAGATCAGAAGAGGAAAGGCAGGTTCGAAATAGACGCAATCGGCAGCAAGTATTATTGTGGGATGCCTTGGAATGGAAGTCGGGAGGGGTTCACCCCAGTTCAATACAGTCGCTGCAACGACAGATGAGAGGCCGTTGAGTTTGATATTCGTTTCCATCAGCGGTAACATGGAAGTTTGATCTGTGATATAAATAGGCTGCAGTCCAATGTTGCAACCACGTGCGACCGCAAGCCCGACAAGGCCGCCGCCAGCTCCTAGTTCGACTCTAACCAGAAGGTAGTCAGTCGACATAAACTTAAAGGTTTATTAAATGCAAAGGTCAGTGGCAGGAACGACATGGCAACGGACATCGTCTTATTAAGAAAGCTGGAGCGGTGTTGACGTAGTAAGTACTTGGACAGGACCATCCCTGCTGGCCATAGTTGGCCTCCACAACCTTCCTTGAGATCTTCCTGGAGAATCAGAGGGTTTTGCAATAAGCCATCAAGGGAAATACTGCTCTGGCTGGCTGTCTTGAGGTCCCTCAACGGGACAAGTGATTCGTTGACATTGAAAGTCTCATTTGGGTCAATCAGGCTTGGTAAATACTCCATTTAGAGACGCGAGAAAGAAATTTCTTTAAGAAACAAAATAACGTAGATGAGCTGGGAGCTAATCACAATGGGAGCAACCCTTCCTTGGTTTGTGGAACAGGAATCTGCTCTGGGTCAAATTAGCTTCATTTTCCTTGCCGCCCGTTTTGCCCCATAAATCCTAAAAAGCCCCATATCACTGCCATCAAAACTGGTTTGCATGTTAGATTGGGAAGTTGTATACTACAGGCATGAGTGAGTGTATGAGTGTATGCGTGGGTGTGGGGTAACCTTTTTATTTAAATTGCAAAAGGGATAATGACAACTTAGAGCTGTGTTACAAAAGATGTAATTTATAGTCCTTCTGCTGGTATACCTAGCATTGATTACTTTATATGCCTAAATACTTTGTACTTGTATATGAAACTTGTTTATCTCTCTATTATATACCTATACAATTGCTTATCTACTATGTATATACAGAGTATTCCAAGGAACTAGCTGTTGACTACATGTCCTGGATTGTATGCAATCCCTTATTTGCCTCTACTAATGTATTATAGTTGTTATATTAGTGATCTATAATATCCATCTGTATTTTATTATAATAGCTATACTTTAATACTTGTTAGATTAGTCCTCAGTTTAGTTATGTCTTTAATTATTATATACTGTACTGAGTGTATTTATAAATCATAACTAATAATATATATCTTCAATATAAGTCTATTATTAATTTATTGTTGGCGGGTGGCCGATCCAGGGCCATGTGACCGCAACTCCCTACTTGATCACTGTGATCACTGATTCTCTCTTATCTAAATTAATATATTTTTTTTATTTTTTTATATAACTATTTTTTATTAGATTATAAACTTAAAATATATTATTTAGAGTTTATTTAATAATAAATTAATAATTTCTTTATTTTTTCTATTATAAAGTATTATAATATATTCTTAGATAGATTTTTAGATTTCTTATAATATTATTATATCTATATATTAAACAAATATATCTTTTAAATTATAATTATATTAATTAACTAATGCTAATACTACTATTAGTATTATTTTTATTATTAAAAATATTATTTAAATAATCTAATTTATTAAATCTAGATCTTATATTTTTAATATAATTGAAATAAATATAATTAATAATATTAATCTATTTTTATTTTTTTCTGTAATTAATCAGATATATCAAGAAGAGTATTTTTATAAATTATTATGTTTAATTATGATTAATAATTTTTAAACTATTTTTAATAATATTATTATATATAAAAACTAGATCTAATAGATCTAATAGAAACTTATTATTCTTAATTATAAATAATTATGGCCTGTTTTATTATTGCTAGCATACTTCTTGTTTACTCTATAGCAGTATAGCTTTGTTTTGTTACTAATATATTTAAATTATCTTCTCTATTTTTTTATTACTGGCATATTTTATCTCTTCCATTAACTAAACTAGCCAACTATTTCTGCTTTATATTTTAGTAATCTAATTAATTAATTATTACTATTAAGGAATCCTTTTAAATCAAGTGAATTATACAATATAATAATAGTAATAATATATCTATATTTTAATATTAATCTAGAGAACTAAATATTTTTAAAATAAATAAATAAAAGATTTTCTTTTATATCTTATAATTAAGATTCTGATTAATTATGTATAATTATTATTATTTTTAATAATACTCTTAGATTAAGAGAGTAATTATATTACTAGACTTAAATCTTAGATTAATTGATTTTATAGTATTATTATTAATATACTTTGTTAGGGGAATAACTAAATTATACTAATCCAATGATTGACTGTTAATACAGAAGAAATTAATAAAAAAAAGAAAAAAGAAAATAATAATGGAGATTTGAGGTAGTATAAAGAAAGTATATTTATTTTAAAGTCAGAATAATATCTATACTACTTAAAGTATTAGTAATTTAGTATTAATCTTTTATCTAACTTTTTTTATAGATAAATATATTTATAAGAACTTTATAAATTATATAGTATAATATTTATTAATATAATAATTTTATAAGAAACTAGTTTTATAATATAAATATTTCTTATAATATAATATATTATAAGTATTATAAAAATTATTATTTCTATAATTAATCCTTTTTTTAGAATCTCAGTTCTTAGGATTAATATTTATAATAAATTAAATATTATTAAAACTTTTGTTGTAAAATCTGTTTTTTTAAAAAACAAATAATTAAAAAAAAAGTTTTTTTTATAATATTTGTTATAAGATTCTTGTACAAACCCTTCAAATCACAAAGGCTTAATAATATCTGTGTAAATACTTTGTTTAGTATATTATAATTAAATAAATAATAAAATATAATAAGAGATAGTACTATGTAGAAAAAATAAAAGAATATAATTTAAATATTCTTATTTTTTATTAATTCTTTTATTAATTTTTTTTATATTAATAATTAATTATTAGATTAGCTTAATTTAATTATTTTTCTAATATTAGAAATTAGTTATTATTAAGAGATAATCTCTTAAGAATTAAGAATTATTAAATATATAAAAATAATAAATACTTTTAATTTAATAGCTTATAATAATTAAAATATTATTTAAAGTTTTATATAAACAGTATATTCTTTATAAATAGACTTAAATAATTAATAAATATATTTTAATTAATAATAATAAAAGTACTAGATAAAAAAAGCTTAATTATAAATTTAATTAAAAAACTTATAATAATATTCTATATTACTATTTATATTATTAATATTATTTTTTATTTAATATTTAATTATATAACTCTAAGTTTACTTTTTAAATTCTAAATTCTTTTTAAATAAAAAATTAAAATATATTCTCTTTTCTATAAGAAGCTTTATATAAAATTTCTTATTAATAAAAAATATTTTATAAATAAAATAAAAAATAATTATTATATTTATTATATTTATAATTATCTTTATAAAAAAGCTAGATAATATATATTTTTTTGAATTATATTTAAATAAGAAATAAATAAAATTGTATAATAAAATAATTTACTATAATTAATAAATTAATTATTTAAAAATCTAGATATAGAAAAAAAGACCTTTATATAAATTATAATAATAAAATAAAAAAAAATTAGAGAATATTTTTAAAAAATTTAATAAATCTCTTCTTACTACCGGCAGTATTAATTAATTAGATAATTAGAAAGAAATCAAACTTAATATTATTATTTACTATTATTTACTAAATAATTATTAATAATATAATTAAAATAAAAAAAAACCTAATTTATATAAGAAATATTATAATTAATTTCTTAAGATTAATTATAATATTTATTATATAAATACTCTAAAGTAAAATTATTATTATTTTAATTATTTTTTATTTATAATTAGAAAGAATAACTTGGATAAAATAAACTAAAAAATTATATTAATTAAAATTATAACTCTTTATTTAAAAAACTTTAAAAAAAAAGAAATATTTTTCAGAAAAATATTATCTTATAATAAATCTTAAAAAGAAAATTAAAAAAAATAAGAAGAATTCTATCTTAAATATAAAAATAATAAATATTTTATATAATATTATAATAATAATTTAAGTAAAATAACTATAATAGAGTCTATTAAAATCCTAAATAATAAAAATTTTAAAAGAAATAAATAGTATATAAAATTATATATTAAAAGATATTAATAATAAAAAAATATTATTAAATTATAAATATTTTAAAGAAATATATTTAAATAGCTTTTCTTTTATAATATAAGTATTATTAAATTATAATATTATAATATAAATATTAATAGACAGCAGCTGTTTAAATTATAAAATAATTAATAAAATATTTATATAATAAAAATAATTATTAATAATTAGAACTATTTTTTAATTAATACAAAAAATTATTAAATAAATAGAATATCTAATATATATTATATAAATCTATTTAAATATAGATATATACTTAGAAGAAGAAGTTTTCTTTTTATTTTATTAAATAGATATAAATATAATCTTATTCTAGAATTATTTTAAATAAAATAAATTAATATATAACTAGAGCTAAAATAAAAATAATTATATTTTTATATAATAAAAACTATAATTATATAATTTAATTTAAAAATAAAATTAAAAATAAAAATTATCTAGATTTCTGCTATTATTATAAGTATATATATATAATAATATTAATATATAAAAATTAAAAATCTTAAAATATTTATTATTATAATAAATAATACCTAAAAAAATACTTAATCTAAAATTATTTATTAATTCTTAAACAAGATTATTTAAATATTGTTATAATTCTTTTTAATTTTTTAAATCTTTATCTATAGATAAACTATTATCGTATTCTAATAAAAATATAAATTATAAAATTAAGCTAATATAAAAAAATAGATAAACTTTTTAAATATTATAAAATTCTTTATATAATATATTTTATAATAAATTATTAATATTATAAACAATACTAATAGAATTATTAAATAAAAACTTTATTAAAATTAATTAATTATTTATTATAATATTTATTTTATATAAAAATTAAAACAAAAACTCTGTTTCTATATAAATTATTATATATTAAATATAATTATTAAAAAAGATTAATATCTTCTATCTCTAATTTATAAAATACTTAATTAAATTAAATAAATTAAATAGTTTACTAAGCTTAATATTTTCTTTTTTTTTATTATATATAAATTATTAAGAATTAAGAATAGATGATAGTCTTTTATATAAGATATAAATTATATAAATAATTAATAATTCTTTTAATTTTACTAATATTTTAAGTATTTTTTAGAAATTTATTAAATTTTTAAAGAATATCTAGATAAGTTTTATTTAATTTATACAAATAATATACTTATTTATTCAAGCAGATCTTTAAAGAAATATTAAGAATATATATAAAAAACTTTTATTAAATTAAATGAAATAAAATTATATCTAGATATTAAAAAATATAACTTTAAAAAAATCTAAAT